GATGGCCTCCAACCTGATAGCGATGGCCTCCAGCCTGCTACTAGCGATGGCCTCCAACCTAATAGCGATGGCCTCCAACCTACTGATAGCGATGGCCTCCAACCTACTGATAGCAATGGCCAATGGCCTCCAAGCAAATGGCGATGGCCTCCAACTAATAGCGATGGCCTCCAAGCAAATGGCGATGGCCTCCAACCTCCCAGAGAGCCCAAAGACCTCTAATTAAGGGAAAACACTTTAATTAAGGTAAAGCCCTTTAAAAACAACCTCTATTTAAAGGTTAATCCTTTAATTAAAAGTCTTTACCCCTTAATTAGAGGTCTTTGGTCCCTTTAAAAAGGTATAATCCTTTAAATAAAGGGTTTTGGTGCAAAAAGCATACAACCCTTAAATAAGGGGTTTTGATGGCTCATGATTGGTGGGAAAAACATGTCAAACACATTTTTAACTGAAATGTTTAATCTGGTGAAACCTCCTGTTCCACTAAAGGAGGTGCCTCCTACATGAAGGAGCATTGTACATTTTTATCATATTAGTTGTATATTGTCTGTTTGAAGGAGAAGCCTCCTGCAAAGGAGACTTCTCCTGTTACCCCATCCCAACCCAGCAGCTGCAGCACCTTTTTTCTCAAAGCGAAGGGACCTGGTGCAAGGCTGCAAACTTATGGAACATGGCTTGTGCCACAGCCAAGCAAGTGAGGTTACCTCCTCGCCTTCTAGCAAGTTCTGACATTTGCCCTCCCCAATCCTCATCTCTGTAGGTCCACCCAGTGGATGGGGAGGCTTTGGGGCATACAAAGCAGCAAACTTCAAAGCTTCTCTGTGCAAAGCACTTGGTTCAAAAACTTGCTGGCTCAATTGCTGGTAGCAATTGTGCAAATGTTGGGCACATTGGATGACTGCAGCTTGAAAAGAATCTGCATTGTTGAGCAATGCTGTGCATTGCAACAAAGAAAGCAAAATCAAGCCTTTTGCATCTCCTGCTTTGGCTCTCAACTTAGGAGAAGTAGAACTGGAAGACTTTTTCTTGTCTTTGTAAAGCATGGAAGCCTTCAGCAAAGGCATTTGGGAATCAATGGCATACTCCTTGTAGTAGTTCTTCATACTGACATGCAAAGCTTTGCAGTTCTGGTCCACATTGTTCCCAGGCAGCTTCTCTGACAACAGGACAAAGACAGAGGCTAAAGGTCATACATAGAGAAATAAATATGAATCACTACGTTTAAGATAAATAAGATATTCATGGTCAATGCTCATGTATGCATAGGAGGTGGTGGCCCATCTCCTGCTGTGCCAAAACCGGAAGAAGTGCCTGCGCCAGCTGCTGCTGCCACTGCAGAAGTTCCCAATGGGGGGGGCGTTCCCCCTGAAGCTCCCAATGAGGCTGCCAAATGAGGTTGAGGAATCTCCCAATGAGGAGCCTAAGCCAGAGCCTGAGGCCAGAGATACTGAGAACTGAATATCTTCTCACATATCTTCCAAAGCCATCTCAGCTTGAAAAAAAGGTGTTGCTTTGCTGCTGGGTGGGGATGGATGATAAGGCTCCTTGTTGGGCAGGAGCTACAAAAAATAATACCTCCTGAACTAGGAGGTCAATAATCAATGGTTGATATGTTAAAAAAATCCTCCTGGGATTAGGAGGTATATAAATAATTTAGGGCTTCTACAAACACCAACCGTTTAACTTCATTTAACTTGGCCCATTTAACTTCATTTAACTTATACATTTAATTGGAAATGCTTTCATTTTGGTAAGTTAAATGAAGTTAATTTAACTTATGGTAAGTTAAATGAAGTTAATTTAATTTGGAAAATGAAAGCATTTGCAACTAAATTGCCAAGTTAAATGAAGTTAATTTAACTTGGGCTGGTTTTCACCATTTAATTGGAAATGCTTTCATTTTCCAAGTTAAATGAAGTTAAATGAAGTTATATAAATATATACATGTTTGTGGCCATGAACTATTTTGATAAGATTTTAGGTGAACAACACAAGGTTTGAGGATTGTGCACTACATTCCTTTTGGAAACAATGCATTTCAAACATCATTTCCAACAGCTTTTTCTTGGCTTCTTCATTAGTGCATTCTCTGCCAAAGATTTTGGTAGCTGCCAAAGACTTTTCATTGCAAACAGACATTCTGCATTTTGATAAGCATCACTGCAGCTTTTGACTATCAAGATACAGGTGCACCTCATTTGACACAGAGGCTGCAGGTTCTGCAACTGCCTCAGGCCCCTCCAGGGCCAAGGATGCTGCAGGCTTCTTCAAAGCTGCAGAGGCTGGCCTTTTCATCGGTTTGGAAACAATGTGCAATGCCAGGCTGGGAGTATCTGACTCACACTGCTCCTCATTGCCAAATTGGTACAGCAAAAAGCCTTTGCCCCCAGGAACACATTGGGCTTCCAATGTCTCACCATTGGCTAGCTGCCTCTTCATGACACCCTTCTCCTGGTCGAAGAATTGCAAAAGCACAGCAGCAGTGTCTCCATTCTCGTGTTCAGGAGCTACTTCCATGTCTGCAACAGGAGAGGCATTCCCCTCCTGAGAAGAATAATCCACTGCAAACACTTGGGATTTCATGGCTCTCCTTTTGGAAGGTGGGCTCACTCCATACAGCTCATAGGGATTCACTTTGCTACTGCTGCTAGCTTCAGCTTTGCTGCTGCTGGCAGACTGAGCAGCCGCTGCCACAGGCAAAGAAGTTTGGGAAAATGAACGCTTGGGAGCAGCAACTTGGTGACTGGCAGGTGATCCCATTTAGACATGGCATCCATCACCCTTTTGACAGCAGGATGGGTTTTGGCACCACTGGTGGTGCTCTTTTTTTTACTTCTGCATTCAACCAAAGCAGAAGCCAGTTGCCTGCCA